ATAACTGGATATGTAGGGAGAGAGCTAATATTAAAAGAGATAAATCCCAGTAAGAACTATGCTGCCAGGGGAAAACTAAGTTCAGAGTTATGGACCAGAGAGTAATCTCTCATGATCATAACGGGCCTTAGGCCTATAATTCTCAGTATGACATGACAAATTCCTTCACAAAACCATCACTGAACCTACAAAAGGTTTGTTAGTTGTAAATAGCAATTAAGTCATAGAGCAGGTGGTCATCAAAAATAAATTTGGAGCGTGTGATCATCATTTCCTTACATATAAATTAAGTGGGAAGCTAAATAAGAATAGGCTTGTACTGTACATGCAGGTTTTGTTTCAAAATAAATGAAAAACCAAGGAATTAAGAAGACTTTTTAATGTGGACTGTAGCGGTAAGGAAACTGGATGTGAAAGATGCCCAGAATTTCTGAGAGAGATGCACAGTGGCTGTGGAACTTGCACCCCAAGTAAAGAAGCAAAAATCCCTCTGTAGGTACCTGGATGAACAGCCACAAGGTGAAGACTAAGGAGAGAGATCGGCAAATAAAACTCTTTTTCAAATATTTGTAGATGTAATGTAACGTCAATCTGGAAAACGGATTTTTAAAAGAAGAGAAAGTTTTTCATATAAGTAAATAACTGAACCAGGAAGGAGAAAGTGGCTATGCAAAGAGGATGGGGTCAAAAATAAAAATAACTGTTAAAATTAAATGAATATAAAATAAATATAGAAAATAAATACAAATAATAGTCTTCAACCAGGAAAATTATAGTGAAGAGTGGAGCAGAGGAAAGGAGCATAATGAATATGAGGGTACAGGAACTACCACATCTGATTTGAAAGAAAAGCAAACATTAATGTGATGAAACTAAGAAAACAAGCTAAGCCTTGGGTTTTGCTGGATTTTTTTTAAACCATAATAATTTTTATTCTTAAGAAAGCAACAAGGAGTTACAGAGTTTTACAAAATAACAAACACTGTTCAGATAAACTTCACCTTATCTGTGCTCACTCAGTTTTGGGAGTTGGAGGCCTGGCAAATAATTTCTCCCTCCAAGGGTAGGTGACCTACCCTTTCACCCCTTAAGAATTATCATCTGCCCCATGTTACTCTATAACACTGATTGGGAAGTTCCAGCCCCTTCCTCAAGGAGAAGTATTTATTCAGAAAGTCTGTTGTTGGCAGCAAATGATGAGCATACAGGAACATAAAAATTTGTGACTCTTCATGGTTTTACCATGGCCTCTCAGCTCATGTTTCAACAATCTGCTGGCTGAATACTCTAACCCAGAACAGAGGTTGTGCCACAGAGGGAGGTCCACTGTATAAATTACAATTCAAAACAGAGTCTGCATTTCACTGAGTTCACCAGGTTCATCCAAATATCTTACTTTGTCAGTAGAAACCAAATAAACTAAACTAAACTCTCCATTCCCCTTATATCTCTGCTCTGCTAAACATCACTCCTATTCTCCTGGTGTCCAACCTGTTTCCTCCTAAAACATTTGCAGCTGCATCACTTCTTCCACATCCCACTTCCCTTCATTGGTGTGCCCTTTTACCCTTCTCCACTTGCCTCTCCCCATGACACCTACAATCAGGCAGGTACCCTCTATCCAAACCCATTACCTTTCCTGTTTCCCGTCTTTCTGCTTTCTTGTCCCGAGCCTTTTTGCCCTCCTCTGACCTCTCTGATTTCCATGATGCCATCATTTTTGTTCCCGTTCTTCCAACAAGTGGAAACATTGCAAAACACATCAGCCTGGAGCGTGCGGAGTATTACTCTTGCCCTGCACAAGACATGCGGGCAGCACAAACGGGATCAAAGCCATGAAGGTCTGGAATGTGTGATCTGGACCGAGAGCAACCTCAGTTGCTGTACTTGGGTCCACTTTTCCAGTTCAGACCCCGCCACAGCAAAAGACCTGTTTTGAAAAACATCGAATGCCCAGTTTCTTCTAATCAAATCCCTCAAGCTCAAATTTAGGAAGAGTTTTAACTTTCCATCGGTCAAGTTACAAGCTTAAACTAGGAGCCTAAGGACTTGCTGAACCCAAATCGAAGCCTCTCACCTTTTAACTAAGCCAGCGCTGTCCACACCAAGATGAATAGAGCAGGAAAATTTGGTTCCTTGCAGCTCTCCAAAGCTTCTGCTGACTCTGCTAATCAGCAGGACCATGAACATTGACCTAGCTTGGCATACATCCTCTGATTAATTAAACTGCATCCCACTCCAGCCCACAGCTCTCTGCTAGTGTTAAATGCAAGGTAAAGTAAGAAGTGGCCACCAGCTGGCATTTGCCAGGTGGGTATGCACTGGTATAAGGGTGATCTCCACTTCCCTGTACAGCTTTCCCTCTTGCAGGGTTGGGTTAACCAGACTAACCTGAAGATGACTGTGGATTTTCAGCTTCTACTGTATATGCCAAAGGTTACTTAACCAAATTTGCAGTTTACAGAAGTATGCATATATATTGACAGGGGCGAATTTGTCTCTTTCTCTCTCTGAATTAACAGCCTGTGTCTCTCCAGCATACCCTATAGCAGTACCAGAAGGAAAATGATCCAGTCTCCTAGACGTTGTATGTACACCCTGATCCCAAGAGGTAGAGGTTGCGACATTCCTATCTCCGACCCGCACCCTGAACCACCACATTTGCAAAGGTTGCATCCTCCCTGTAGTCTGACTCCGGCACCTCCTGCACAGGGAAGAAGCAGGATCAGTGGTAATAAGGCTGGAACTGAAGTCATGCAACCTCCAGGAGCAGGAAGATACAAGAACAAAATCCTCTGGCATCGACAGAAGGAGGCCAGAAGTGGAATAGCAGTGGTGCCAGTGACACTGGCACTAAAGGTAAAATGAGCCCAGTTCATACTTAACGCCAGCCACAATTTCAGGGCATCTACACCAGTTTACAGCAGCTAAGTGGCTGATCAGGTGAGAGACAGTTCATAGGTTGAACTAACTTTTTCATGGTCTCTTATACCAGCCTTGAACACTGGCTTACTCTGAGACCCTATCATTTAAGGTTGTTTTCTTTCTCCTCCCCAAATTATCCATAATTTTAGGTGGCTCCATTTTTACGTACCCGGCATAGATACTGGCACCCAATTTTTGGACATGCATTTGCAGCTACTGCGGTCTGCAGCTACAGCTGGGTGCTCAGCATCTTTCAAAATCAGGTACATGATATGCGAAGCATGACGCCTTGATGTAGAGGCCAGTCTAGGAAGTCTGGCTATATGTTCTCACCTCTGTCAACTTCCCTGTGTAAAACAGAGTGATAATATTGGGTGACCTATGTTATATGGGATGTTTTGAGGACAGGTGAGTTTTTGTAAGCAACTTTAAAGGCTGGCCAGTTTGGTTTTATGCAGTGGCTTAAGCCACAGGATGAAGGATCAGAGCACCCAGCTTTAACTGCTCCTGGCCCAGCTTAGGTTCCCCACGTTCATTTGCTTCAGTTTCCTCTGCATAAAACTGGGATGCCACTTGTCATGTTTTCCACAGGATACCTGCGCAGACAAGTTTATTCTCATATGTAAAGCATTATGAGACTTCCCGGAAAGGGTCTCTAGGGACAAAAAACAGAATAGCATTAAAAAATAAATAAATCTTAACTGCTGCTACTCCAGCTCCTGGGACCAGTCCACTGTCCCCACAACTCAGACAATATGCTCCTGAGAGTGTGTGTCTGGAGAAGAAAAACATCCTTGTATGGTTATAAATCTCATAGGGACCACTTAAGCTGCAAGTGTAGACAAGGACGAGCTGCACTCAGCATGGCTTCGGTCACCATGCAGTTCACGCCTTCGATTACCAAGCACTTAGTTCAGCTTCATCAGCAACCTTTATAGGTAGGAGAGGCCTCCTTCTTGCATAGCCTGCCTCACCCCAGATATGCACCGAGACCGGGGGTGGCAAGTGCGGCGTGTGTCCATCCACCTGGGCCAGTTTTCACCTGGCCAGCCCAGGCGAGGAGAGCAGCGGTCCAGGCCAGCAGATGTCCCAGCTCCCAGCGAGGTCCTCCTGCCTGAGACGGTGAGATGAAAGCCAGACCTCATGTCCTGAGCTCGCACTTCTGACTTATGAGCTTAAAAAAGAAAGGGGTGTGAGTCATCACCGCTGTGGCTGCGCAGCGGCTGTAAGCTGTCAAATCAGTTTACAGCCATTTCAGAGGAATCCCACCTGCCACCACAACTATGGCATTTCTAACTAGTGCCTCTGAAATGGGTTTAAATAGTGTCATAAGACAGACGCTGTTGGTGACATGCCCACTTTCTCTCATCTATTGCCTCAACAAGCACATTCTGTTTTTAAATTAGTGTATTTGTTAAAAAATCAACTAAACCCTAATCACTCTTCTGCTCTGTAAAAAAAGAAAAAAATTCTTATACTCCAGCCCATTTAACTGAAGCAAACGTTATCCATACTGTTACTGAATGGGCTGCCGAACGCCTTCTCTTTTACGGAAAAAAATAAAATCTTTGACAAATTGTTTACAATTGCTGACAATTACAATTTGCAATTTACAATTGCAAAACTGAGTAGGTAAGGCATTCTAAGAATGTCTTAAAATATTTTTTGATGGCTTTAGTGGATTTTTAAATAAAACAGAGAAAGTTATTAACCAAAAAATGTCAATTGAACCCCTAAAACTTTTGCTACTTGGTAATTTCTAACAAAAAACAAGTTTGTTTGCTTTGGTTTGAATGTTTCCATGAGCTCAGCTTTAGGCTTGCACTCAAATGCTGACATCAATGCTAACTAGGCACGCTTGCCTGAATCGGAGCCCTGAACGACGGTCTGTGGCTGTGCGGTGCATTCCTGAGTCCTAATTAATTCACTTAATTTTGGGGGCTCCTTTTCTTTTGCCCACAACTCAGAACAGGTTAGCAATCCCTAGGTCTGACGGGCAGGAGGGCATTTGCCTGTGCTCCCAGAACTTGGCTCTCCAGCCAAAACTAAGGTGTTTCAGACCTAGTCAAGCTAGGTACATTAACTGCTCTTGCTTCTCTCAGGGACATGGTACAGGAGTAGCAGCCTACCTTCAAGGTTGCGAAGATGCTGTTTCAAACAAGATCCTTATTGCTTTCTCCAGGATGCTGTATTAAGCAAGGAACAGAAACATAAACAGAAAGCACATGATATCAGTGAGCAATGGATGAAGTTTTAACAATTAAATTAATGCAGGGAAAAAAAAAGATGCAGGATGTTCCAAACTGGGAGACAGCTTCAGCTGGGCAGAAGCCAGTTTTGTACGTCCAAAGGAGAGTTGGAAGCAACAATCTTTACACCTAAATTCCCAAATCTTCTTTTCAAGGGCCCTGAAAGGAGCGTGGCAGCGGGGAAGCAGGTTGTTCAGACTCTGCGCTTGAAAGTAGAAACCAAAGTCTTTTGAGTCTGCTCTCGAGACTCGCACATGCCTGTCAGCAGCACGGGGTCTGTCTTGTGCTCCACTTGGTAGAAGGGACAGTTCTTCAGGTGCTCCGACATGCACGCGACATCGTTGCGCTGCCATTTGTTAACTCTGGAGAACAGGCTGCTGAACTGCCAGATCTAGTACGGGGACAGCGAGAGAAATTGGGGAGAGAAAACGTGAATGTTAGTAAAAATAGAACAGGATTTTAAAAATCTATGTATGCTTATAGTGGGTGTGCATTACTCGTACCGGACAGGCTAGTGAACATCAGATTGTGCAGGGCTGGCATAACAAGTAAAAATGGGGTCTGTATTGTAATGTACCTCGTCCTTGCTGGTTTTGCTGCTTTAGTCATCACCTACCATTTCTAACAGGAAAGTATCCTTCTACAGTTTTTGTGCCAATCCAGTGCAGGGCATGAGGAAATCCAGAACACCTGACCACTGCACCTCTACAGAAAACTCCGTCGCATGTACGGTATGATCCAAGATGTTTATAGCTGCATCCAAGATGTTTATAAAGCAGAGTGACTACAGCATGCTTGTGCGATATGTATCTCAAAGGAACCTGACTTCATAAAGACCTTCCAAAGCATCTATCAGCAACTTCAAAGTAATGAACATTGCAACGCTGTTGTTATTCACCCCACCCCAGAACAAGCCTGGGAAATCTAAGGGTAAAGTTATTCCTAGAGGTGATACGAGCTCGTAAAAAATAGAAATGTGCAGTTAAAATATTCTGATTCTGTTTGCAGTGATACCATGTATCATTTAGTGATACACTAGCATCTAGTGATAAGACTGTGATTAAGTCACTTTAATATTTGCTGTATACCATTAAAGCAAATGAATTTTTAAAGTTGTAGTAGATTCCCTGAAAAGGATTTTCCTGTAGAAGAAGGACAGTACGTGGGTGTGCTACACTTAAGATTACCTGAGCCTGTCCTAGTCCTAAGTAATCATAGCTATTATACACAGTAGTCAAGAAATTCAGATTAATTACATACAGAATGTTTTTAAGCAGAGTCTGTGCATTGGAAACAAGATTCCTGTGTGGTCAGTACAGAGAGCTAACATGAGAGGGGTTAGACAGTCCTTAAATTCAAGGCTGCTGGTTTGAAATTGCGCTACAGTAACTGAAGTTAATTGCTATTTGATTGCTCAGCCGGAATGTCTTCCTTTTACTGAAGGAAGCCACATCCTCCAGTAAATTATTTCAGTGGCTAATTCCTGTTTTGGATTGGGCTAATTCAACTTGCAGCCACCAAACTTTGTTACACAGATTTTGAATTCACCACGCTTCATTTTCTTCTCTTAATAAAGAGTACTTTCTCTTAAGAGTCATAAACTGCTAAGCTTCCCTTTGATAAGAATCAATAGGTGGAGATCCTCAGGGGTGTGCGTGAAAGCCAGGTCCTTAGATCATTTCTGGGAGTCTTCCTTGGATCTAAATTACTTGTTCCTAGATCTCTGTCTTGTCTGCTTGGTCATGCTGGAGTCTCTCATGTTATTCTTTCAACCAGTTTTATGTTAGAGCAGCTGCAAGGCTATCAGCTAGGAAAAAACCTGTAATAACTATTGTTCGACTAGGACTTAAACTGAGCTGTGTTTACATATTTTGTTGAGACTACCCAAACAGCCAATAAGGGAGATGATAGTTTTCCAGCACAAATGGTGGGACACCAGCTTTGCAGAAGGCGGCTTCCTATCCCCATGCTGCTCCCTCAGGTGCCCACAACCCAACGAGTCAGATGCTCATGGCAATCCTGTGAACTACTAATCATGAAAGCCCTTGCGGGTTGATGTGAACACCTGAGCTCCTTTCACAGCCACGTCTCCTTGTTCTTTACCCTTTTGGCATTCTGAAGCATGTTTTAGTTTTGACATACCCTAGATCAGCTTGCAAAGAATAAAAAAATGTATGAACATCAAGTTCTTCAAAACCCCATGTGTATCCTTTAAATATCAGGAATTCTCAGTTCCCAGTGCCTAAAAACGGTGCACATGCAAAGAGGTTACCCAAGACAAGCTTGGGTGGGGACTTTTAGCTAGTCAGAAGATGTCCATTTACACCTTCCAACCTTTGCTAGATGTACTGTACTTTACAGCCCTGACCCCCCTGAGACATTGTGCTGCAAATTCACAACTTCATGAACCTTCCCCATATCTGCATGCTTACATGCAGCATCCCTTGCTATGCTTGTGTTTTATCTGGAAAGAACCCATGACTGTCTTTTTCCCAGTGTCACAGTCACTTGCCTTTTTGCGAGCTTTCCACGAAGTACCGCCATGGGAATATCTTTTTTTCTCCCAGACCAGCAGGACCATTCCCCTCTCTTGAAGAAGAGTGGCACAGATGTCCCTCATCAGCACTGACACTTGCGATAGCTGAGATAAACTGAAGCTGTCCAGGAACCCAGCAATGTACTTGAGCACTTCCACTGGGAGGCTGCTCAGTGAGTCCTTATTTCTCCCTCGATTAGCCACTGTGGAATTGCACTTCCCTGATTCAGCAAGGACGGTGTCCACCTCTGGCTTAATAGCAAATGTCTTGAGAGGCTTGCTGTATATAACCTTGGCCTTAAGTCCATCAGGGCGGAAGTGATTTTGGACAAAAGTACATCCCAAGTAGGCCAGTGGGCAGCGATGCTGGAACCATCCGTCCAGACATGACTGGATATCAGCATGCACATTCTTGAAGTGGGACGGGAACTCATCCCTCCTGAAGAAATGACTGCAAGTGAACGTGAAAGCTGAACTGCTTTTGTTGTGTCTTCTGGTTACACATTCAGTGTAGAGCTCCACGTGGAGTTCTGGTGGGCTTTTTTCATCCAGAATATCTGCTAGAACAGCATCAGAGGAGAAGGGCTCTAGAGGGAAGCTGTATGTCTGTGTTGGAAAATCCACAAAGAGTCCATCGATACCCCTTGCTTCAGAGATCTCATGGCCTTTCAGCTCTTTTTCCAGTGCACACAGCAGCGTGGCTTTAACTATATTTGCCTTAGGTAGCTCTTCTAGGTTTATTCCCAATTCTGATGTATCCACCGACTTGTCTGAAGTTGGTATCTTGTGGCCCAGTGCATCTCCTAGTCGTGCTCTTTTGCCACAGTAACTAACTGGCACTTTGAAGGTGTAAACAGTCTTCACCTCCTGAGCTTCCAAGTTCCCATAGACAAAGTCTTTTTCTTTGGGTGTGCAAGCAGCTAGCTGGCCAAAGCGGATGAGCATTCCCCCATGATGTACCAGATACATGTTGTAATCCCCTACACCAACTTCCTTCTTCAGCCTTTCCAGGACCCCTTCTTGCCAGGGAGCCAGTCCTGTCCTTTCTGTATTTGGTGTTACTTGTTCAGGCTTTTGGTCTTTTGCCTCTTCTGCACTGTCAGGTACTTCCTTTGCCTTCTCTGTGGAGCTGGCAGCACGAGGGTCTGATGCTGTTTTCTTGGAAGCCTCCTCTGTCTTTTGTCCTGTGCTGGCCGCTGAGCCCATTACCTTGCAAGCCAGGAGCTCTTTGCTGAAAATGTTCTCCCAGGTTTTGTAACTCCCCAGATCCATTCCCTCTTTGTCCTTTGCCAAATCTTCACGCTCACGTTGGCTGAGCTCGGACAACTGGTCGTCGGCCTCTTGGGAACCACAGGCTACTCCTCCCACAGCACCTTCTTCCCCACCTATAGCTTCGTCCATTAGCTCTTCCACTTCATCCTTTTTCCTCCACTCTGGAAACAAGTCGGCTATTTTCAAAGTCCTGAAAAGTATCTTCTGGTCTCTGAGTGCCAAGGCTGTGTCCAGACACTCTTCGTTCAAGGTCTCCTTCATAATGTTCTTGTGGAGGGTTGTGTCTGAATCCACGTTTGGCCAGCGATTCCACTCCATCGAGCAGCAGACAACGCTGGCTGGACAGACCTGGAGGTGCTTCGCCAGCTTAAAGCGGGCCATGGAAAAAGGGCAGCCATAGGCTGAGTTGAGGCAGGAGACCTGCTCTAAGGGACAGAGCAATTGGTGCTCCTCTGCCTTGCACATGTGGAAGGTGGCCCCGCAGTGAAAGCGGCAGCTGATCACCATGCAGGAGATGGAGGGCTCAATTGGTGCGCGGCAGTGCCGGTTGAAACATCTCTCACAGTGCCTGTGCTGCCCAGGGGGAGCTTTCTGAGCCCGGTGCTGTGTGTAGCAAAGACAAGAAGACAAGAGTTATTGCCTGAAGGAGCAAGAATGGCCACAGGCCGCCCGTGCCCATGCTTGGTTTCTACGTGTTAGGTGCTCACATGCACCTCTAGCGGGAGTAAGGCTGCGGGCAAGTGACTGCCAGCTCCATACAGTCATGTATCAGTACTGATACCCATGGTACAGCGTGGCCTGATAGCGGCACAGATATAGATAAGGTCCTTATTCATTAGCCCAGCAGAGGCAGCCAGGGCTTGGGAGCGAGCTGTTTTCTGTCCCAATGTTTGCACTGGGTCTATCTATACCAAGCTGCTGAAACCAAGACTGCCAGAGGCACAGTGAGGGAGCTTTCCACTTCCTCAATGCTGTTTGAGTAGGAAAGATGATGTTTCTTTCTCCTCTCTAGAAAAATTAGCTGGTCGTTTGGCCTACATGTCTTGTCATGTCCCCCATAAAGACATGAATGTCGTGCAAATGAACCTCCCTCTGCTCTACACCAGCAAGGCTGAGAGTGAGGATTATCATCACGATCCCAGTTCCCAGTGTGGAAACCAGCCTGGGTGAAGGCTAATTTGCCTGGCCTTCTTTACTCTTACTGGCCGCCTTTACTCCCTGATTTACCCTTACACTCCTAGATGATGCCTGTATGTCGTGGAACAGAGGCTGCGGGGGACTTTCCTTCAGGCAGGTTTACTTGCTACATCTACTTTCAAGTGTCAAAACCTGGAATAAGGCGATGCCTCGGTCTGCGTTTTGGAGAGAAGCTCGAGAGTGTAGTGGGGGCTTGTTGCAAGGTTATACTCACCCAGTTAAATCCATTTTCTTTCACTTTTTTTTACAAACTGCCTTTCACCTCTTTTCCCCTTGCTGTCACCAG